AATCCCCTCTCATATATAAAAATATAAAGGGAATTTATATTTGTCAGTTGATGACCCCCTGTAAAGCTGAATATAAAGTGTAAAGTGAATATTGCAACCCAGGCTCATTCTGAAAACGTACTATTGTATACATTTCTGAAGATTACAAAATATCTTTCAGGAGGTATGTTCTTTTGTAGTTTTTGTTTTTGTGAATCCACTAGAGGCTACTGTGTGTGCTTTTTCAGATCTCAAATTTCTCTTGCAAGTGCTATTTGCACCTGCTGTCCTCACATAAATCCACCAGAGGCCGCTGTCGACTGACTGACTGACTAACTGACTGATCGACTGACCCACCCTCTTCCTTTCCTAAACCCAACCAATAGTGTTTTCAAAAGCACTATTGACCTGCCCACCCACTTCCCTAAACCCAATCGACAGTTTTAAAATGCAATTCAGTAAAAAGAAGCGCCGTTGACTGATTTTTTACCTTGCTGTTAGATTTTACCACATTCTCAACCTGTTATTTACTTGTTTATTTTATTTTTTGACTTCTGTTTTTATTTTACCCACTTTCCAGAGTTCCCACTTAGATATGCTTAGCATTTACAGCAGGTTTGGCATGATGTCCCGGGAGAGAACTCTGAGCTCTGAGATATTTGAGCCCAGGGCTCTCGCCCGGTCAATAAGCATATCAGGGGATCCGAGATCAGGTAGGTCTTGATAGTACACCCTTTAGAAAGGGGAGGAAATGGGGTGGAAGGGGGGATTATTCCAAAATGAAGATAGGGCAAAAAGGAGAAAGTGATCCATTTATAGTAAGCTAGGATCACTCTGATTGGATTGTTACTGATTACGGATGAGTGGCCAGCAGTGGTCGATCATGTCACGTGCTCCTCTCAAAATTAGTTTATGAAACTTCACTTCTGGAACTGTTCATCATCGGACTGGCTACATAATTCATGATCACCAGAAATGTTTAGAGGAGTACATTTTCAGAATGAGCCTATTCTATGTTAGAATATTGCTGCAAATATGCAAATTAAGCATAATTAAATTAAACTAATTATTTCACAATTTTCTGGCATTTTAGAGTCAAAGGCTTTCACCAAGAGGATTTTTGAAATCTCTTTATTTTAGAAAATACATCAGACAGAAAATATTTTTGCAAAATAAACATTGTATATAACCAGGCAAAATGTGTGAATAATTTCCTCTATAAAAGCATTCAGAATACAGATGTGAGTTTCAAGTGGAGATTTTTGGCTCAATGCAGTACAGAAAAAGTCATTTTAAGAACAAAAACATGAATTATAACATGAAATACAAACCCAAACTGATAAAGCACAACAAAACAAACTCGTAAACGTGCATTTTTGGTGTTTTCTTTACATTAGCCTGAAAACAAACACTATAAAAAGCTCAAAAGATTTCTGCAAGTCAGTTTTTCAAACAGGTCAAAGTGGCTAAATCGTCATGATCTCAAGAAGAAGTGCCATAAGCGTGTAAAAATCCACACCTTCACTGAAGAACAAACAAAGAGCTACCTGCAGATCACTCATTAATGTGGTGAAGTTATTTTTAGTGCACTTCCCCTTTGTTTGATCGCTCGCTGCTGTAGACAAGCTTGGGAACATTTCTCTCATTAGTGTTTAACACGGGACTCCTGCCGTCAAGGTCAACAGGACCCCCGTGCCTCGGACACTGTCGAGAGGGCCTTACCAAAACTAATGAGAAGACCACCGCTTGCAGAGAACAGCTACTGCAGACTTTATTCTCCTGGTCCGGTTTATTGTCCCTTAACTCACTAGAAGGTGATTTATTTTCACTTATTAGCATGCATTTAGATATATAATGTGTAATGTATTTAACTTATTTTTAATTGAATTACTTGATACATTTGATTTTTTTATATTTTTTTTACTGTGATCATTTAAAGTTAATGTATAGAAGTACATATGACTTCTGTATGATATGTTGCCTATTTTAAGAAAGGTTAAGTTACTTAATGTTGAAATTTTAATCTTGGAAATAAAGGTACGAGAGCTGTCACTAGGGTAGTACCTTTTTAAAAGGTACAAGTATGTACTTAAAGGGTACTAGGTACTATTATGTACCCTTGATGTATTAATATGGATCTTTATGTGATACTTATGATACTTTGATACATATATAGATAAATTATGTGTACCTTTTGAGTTAATATCAACCCAGTGACATTTCTCATACCTTTATTTCTGAGAGTATAAAATATAAAATCATCAAATATTTAAGCTTGTTTGTTTGTTTGCTTGTTTGTTTGTTTGTTTGCTTGCTTGCCTGCTTGCTTGTTTGTTTGCTTGCTTGCTTGTTTGTTTGTTTGTTTGTTTGTTTGTTTGTTTGCTTGCTTGCTTGCCTGCTTGCTTGTTTGTTTGCTTGCTTGCCTGCTTGCTTGTTTGTTTGCTTGCTTGTTTGTTTGTTTGTTTGTTTGTTTGCTTGTTTGTTTGTTTGTTTGTTTGTTTGTTTTCAGTCATGATATTTGATTTATTATTGATTAAATTGTATCTAACTGTTGTCTATTCATTTACTTTTGAAAAATTAAAAGGGGGGGGGGTAAAATAAATATAAAATAGATCATATCATAATTAATTAAATATTATAATTGTTTAATTAAAAAGTTATTAATTATATTTTATTAAATTATTTGATTATTTGTTAATAATTTATTTGCTTAAAATTACTTTTAAGGTGTATAAATGTGTGTGTGTGTGTGTGTGTGTGTGCGTGCGTGCGTGCGTGCGTGCGTGCGTGCATACATCAAAACATGTATGAATATATAATTATTCAGTAACTTTTTTAATTATTTGCGTGCAGTTACATGCTAATATAAGAATTCATTTCTAAAGCTGCAGATGGCCTTTAGATCAAGTTTTATTTGTTTAAGGATTAATTTTATCCATTTATTTTTGATGTTTATCTCAAGACCTCTGCAAAAGAACAAACTGAAACAAAATGATAAAAGCTCATGTATTATTTAGTCCCTTTGCTTTGCTTTTTTATTTCATTTTGCATTCAGACGTTACAGCATATACCTAGATACATCCTTTATATGACATTTAATTCAATTGTTTTAATGGTTATACAAAATCAGCTTGAGAGCTGGAACCTATAACATAAAACAGCTCACATACTAGCCTGTTTACTGACCAGCTTGTTATATTTTTCATCTGTTTTCTTTCAGATAGTTCTATAATAATTTAGTGCATGTATGACCTTTATATGACCCTGATGTTGTGCTTGTTTCCAGCTAATTGCACTTAATCCTGACTTTGTTAGACCTTTACATAATCATACAAAGCAGAGTTTGTCTGTAATAAAAATTTAGAAAGGGGTTCTTATAAAATTAATATAAAATAAAAAGGCTTATATATTATTTAGTCTGACCTTCTGAGTTTGACAATCAACGTTTTACGAAGGCTAAGCAGTCAAATGACAATTTGTGGTAAAACAAAAATCTATGCCTCTCATAAAAATGTATCTGCTAACTGTACGTTTTCTTTTGAAGTCAGATCGATTTTTCAATGGTAAATCAGCAAGAAAATGCACCATTTCTGAGTTGTTGAGAAATTATCATATGCAGAATGTTCACGAGCAGTGCAAGACTGCCATCTAGAGGAGATTAAAGTCAGTCCACATGACTGACCATGAGCAAATTGTCATTGTCAAATATTAATTAACCTACCTTTAAAATTCATTATGTGGATCAGCAGCGTCTTTTTAAAGAGTATGACGAAGCATACACAGGCTGAAGTAATAAGATCAACGAATGATTTTAGACTAAATATCTGAATTTAAAAAGGCTACATCGTGTAGATGGTTAAGAATTGAAGAAAACCACGGTGTGAAGATAATCAAATTCAGTTTTTGAAGATGGGACAATTCTTGCTAATCGTACATCAACCAAAGTTGCACTCGCACACTCTTTTGTTTTTTTTAAGAGTCGGTTCAATAAACGGTCTGACTGAACTGATTCAAACGGCTCGCGAGTCAACCTTATAGACTAGTTGAGCCCACTTTTTTGTTTTGATATTGTTAAAAATATATATTTTACTTTTAAATAAGTTACTTAGCTTCTTCTTATTGTTATTATTATTATTGTTATTATTATTATTATTATTATTATTATTATTATTGTTGTTGTTGTTGTTGTTGTTGTTATTATTATTATTATTATTATTATTGTTATTATTATTATTATCGGTATGCCAATGAAATTCCAATGTTGTAAATAAAAACATGCATTTATATTTACACGATTGTACCTGGGAAATGTTTGTGTAAATACTTTTATTTTTAGTTATTATAAATATTTCCCAAAAGCTGTTTAACAGAGCAAGGACATTTTCACATCATTTCCTAATATTTTTTGCATTCTGGAAGAAAAAAATCTTGTTTGGCTGGAATTAAGGCAGTTTTGCATTTGTTTAATTTTTTTTTTTTTTTTTTTACAAATTTTAAGGTCAATCTTTTTTGCCCCATTAAGACTTTTTTTTTGGATTGGCTAAACAAACAACTGTTGTCTTGCAATTAAGATATAAATTGCTTAGTCAACCTATAGTAAAGGCTTTACGTTGTACTTTATGATGAATATCTTGCTAAATAACTTGGAAAATATTATGTCATCATGGCACCAGCATTAATTATTCTAATTTAATTTTTAAAACTGTTATGTTTAAAAATGTAGGGACCACAATAGGGACCACAAAAGAGGTCAAAAAATATATTTAAAAAATTATCTTGTATTTATAAATAGAAATGTAGTAATTTAAAAATACGTATTATATTTTGATAAATTCGAATAAATTATATAAAACATAATCGCCATAATATAATTATTAAAATTAATATATTGAGTAAAAAATATATTTTTGAAAAAGAATCGCTTGCTTGCATTTGAACCGAGTGATTTGAAGGAACCGAATCCCGGAAATGACTCGGACCAGCACACTTGTTGCATGTGTGAAACAGTTGCATCAAACTCCTCCCACTGACCGCCCACCAGCGGCGCTTCTCAGCGGAGCATCTCGCTCTTTTATCTCACCCGAGGACGACTAAGTTAACAAACTTCAGGCTTGAGGGTTGTACTTTTCATTTTAATAATAGCCTGTGGGGTTTTATAGTGGGGTTCGCCGAAGTTGCTTTGAGCGTTTACATGTTTGAAAACGGTCGCGGAAAATTACAATGAAGCTAAACTAACACTCATTCAGGACTGAGAAGAAGAACCAGCGGGTGAGTGAAACATTTACTCAGTAGTAATATTGGAGATGATGAATAAAACGGGTGGAACTTTGTGGCTTTCTTACTAGTTTATAATGTAGTTAGACTATATTGCATTCAATGAATGTTTCTGAATGGAAAAGCTCACTCATAAGTTTGCTGTGCAGACGCCAGCTGTAAGTGAGTTCACATCATAGTAGATGGTCTCATTATACATGCATTGAAACTGAATCGCTTTGAATTTCAAGTGTACAGACAAAACACTATTCAAAAACCATACAGGGTTAGAATGGCATCGGACGGGGTATGAAATGCGGATTTTGGGGGGGGGGGGGGGGGTCATTCCTTTAAATGCATGGGAAAGAATAACTTTTTTAGCAGTATGTTTTCATGAATCTGGACAAACTTAGACACATTTATAACATTATATATTTATGGTCTGTTTGTTTGTTTGTTTGTTTGTTTGTTTGTTTGTTTGTTTGTTTGTTTGTTTGTTTAAAGTTATGATGACAGTTTTCTCATGGTTTAAAATATACAATTTAACGTGATATATATATATATATATATATATATATATATATATATATATATATATATATATATATATATATATATATATATATATATATATATATATATATATATATATTGCATTTTTTATTTATTATTATTCAGTGAGGCACATTTTTAGCTGTTGCTTGTTGCCACCTACTGGTGGCTTGCCAAGTTATTGCTACAAAGAAAGGAACACTTAGGGCTCTATTTTGGCGATCCACGCGCAAAGCGCAGGGCGTGTCAGAATCCATTTTTGCTAATATAAGGATGGAAAAATCCGCTTTGCGCCGTGGCTCATGGTCTAATAGGGTTGAGTTTATTTTCTTAATGAGTTATAGGTGTGTTTTGAGAATAAACCAGAGTCTCATCTCCCATTCCTTCTAAAAGCCAGTTGCGTCGCGCCATAGCGCATTTGCTATTTACATGACGTAAAGTAAGTGTAAGTGGAAAAACTGAGCATTTCACAAGCAAGAAAACAGTTGAACAGAGCATCTGGAGCGCGAGAATGGGAGATAAATGATCTAATTTCGCTTTCGTGGATAGGGAAACCTTGTACGCACAGACATCAATTAGCCTATAAATAATTCATTTAGTTTGTTAAGCGCAAAGATTTGTTTCAAACCTAAATTCAGTTCTAATTTCCAGCAAACGAATAACGAACAATAATAACAAAATGTGTTCAAACAACTGAGTTATATCCAATACACATGCTGTGCCCCATATGATCTAAAACCTGACAGGTGGGCAAATCTAAGCTTGTTTTTAATAAAACAAATATAAATATGGATATAATAAATAATACTGCTAATAATAATAACATTATACAAAAGCAAATTGAATGAACTGAAAAAGCCTCACGAGATAAAGAAGGCGTAAAGCCGTGGTTTTTCATATTTATGTAGGCTAGAAAATAATATGTTTTGTAATATTTTAATCCTTTATATTTATATCATATATATATATCCTTAATATTTTAATTCTTTTTCATTTGTAAAGATATTTGCGTATTGCTCTACATCTTGTGTGTAGGCTATTAAGCAGTGCGTAAGCGAGGCGCAACTCTGCGCTGGAGTTTAGACCGGGTTTGTTTTGGTCTGTTGAAAAATCTACTATAGTTTCTCAAAATAGCAACGCGCCAGCAATGCGCCTCAGAACGCCTTCCTTTTTAGACCAGAACTCCTATGGGCGCACAAATGAGCGCAATTGCATTTGCTATTTAAACAGCGTGGCGCAAAACATCAAAACAACTCTTATGCCAAGCTGAAACTAGCAAACACCAATTGCGTCGCGCCTTGCGCCACATTGCACCGGGTGTATGATAGGGCCCTTAACTTTTGTTGCAAATAAACTCAAATTTCAAGGCCAAGAGTTTTGAGTGTGCCCATTTTTTATCTATTCAGCTGATATAAGTCTGGCGGGAACACTTTTAGCTTAGCTTAGCATAAATCATTAAATCAAATTAGCCCATTATCATCTTGGTCAAAAAGATTGCTAAGGCTGCCTCAGGCACCGTTGTATTACACAGTACCGTTACCTAGATGGGGACTATTTTCAGGTGCTGTGTAATACCATTGCATCTGTTTTATCCATGGTATAACAGCAAAGTTACTTGATTATAACCAAAGTCTCTTTAAGGCAAGTCTTTTCACTTGGTGGCAGTCTTTGAAACAGTGAAACAGTGAGATAGTGCTCTGGGGCACTATGCTCGGGCATTCTGTCTGAATAGGGAAACATCAAATTCTCCATATCTGTTTGTTTACCATTGAATTTCAAATTAGGAATCACCATTAAAATTAAACAACAACTGTGTCTTTAGTTTCATATCTAAACATCCAAATCACACAAAATCACACAAATCACACAAAATCTGTGGAAACTCCCCTCTGGTCTGAGCCCCTCCCCCAAAAAATCATTAGTATGGCTAATGATGGCTCGTGTACTAGAAGGCGGGCTTTATTTGCCATATAGTGATCGATGATTGGCTCCTGTTCTAGTAGGCGGGGCTTTATTCACCATATTGATTGTTACATTTTTCCCCATTCATAAAGATACGAGTGATATGTCTTGTATATTCTATAGTCTTAGTTATAACAGCAGAATGGAGTTTAGTTCCTAGCCATATCAACCTAGAAAATAGCAACTTTTCTTTTCTTCAGTACAAGGTTTAACTTTTGAGGAATCAGGCTTTAAATTTCTACATGAATTGGAAGCTGTGACCATTTTCGTTTGTATTGGGAAGCAGTTCCTAGAAAAACAGTATATAAATGTGAAAACATTGGGTGTGGCTTGTTTTTTTGTACTGCAGGGCCAGGCTAATTGGTTGTAGTAGAGTATGCATTTCATACTGAAAGATTGGGAAAAGGGTTTGGGTTGTTGCTAGATTGGATACGGTTGTGGCTGGAAGTTAATGAGAATCATTTATATTATTTATTAAATTGTAATTTATTAAATTGTATTTTATTAAAGTCTACCCCCACCCCAACTCTAAACCCAACCGTCACAGTAAGGTAAAAACAGTAGTATTACTGAGTATTATTTATAATATCTATTACATTACTCAATAAATTGTATTTTTTAACGCCTACCCCCACTACAACCCTAAACCCAACTGTCACAGTACTGTAAAAATAGTCAATATAGTTATACAAAGTCACAAAAAAAATGCTGACTGCATATCCGATCTAGACTTTACCAAGTGTTTGGGGAGAGTTATTATAAACTTAACATACACCCCCACTTCACCATTTTTGTTTGTTGTCATAACGCTGTCAAAACTGACAGTTGGTGGGGCGTGGTTGGGTATGTTATCCATGCCCAATACCTCAGACAGTAATTTAATTGAAAACAAACAGGAAGTGTATTTCAGATTTCAATTTTGTAATACAAGGGCAAACCTTTCTTTCTTAATGACATGCACAGATAAATTGTTCACCACAAAACTAGCATTGTCAACTAACAAAATCAATATCTTTAGTTTGATTTCATGTGTATTTAAAATTATCAAAACTCTTTTCTCCCTTTCTTTTTTTTATTTATTTATTTATTTTTTTTGTTTGAGATGCTAATGGTCTATTGTGACTCAATGAGTTATGCTAAGCTAAAATTACTTAGACCAGTACCAAAGAATAGATACAAAATAGTAAAACTCAGCTGCTTAAATGTTAAAATAGAGTATTTTTTAAAAGTGTTCCTCTAATTTCAACAATGTACTGAATGGATGGACTAAACTTATGTCTTTTAACAATTAATCGCTCAGCTCTAATTGTATGTAAAGTTGTGTTTAGTTAGTCAAGCAATGCTTTCCTCAAAACTGACATGGCTTACTAAAATTTTAATCATACTAACCAGTAAAATAATAAATAATCGGGTAACAATTTTAACTACAAACCTTTGAAAAATATAGATCAACTGTAAAGTTCTGTGTAGCAGAGGGTAACAACAGAGTTGAGGGTCCAACTGAAGTTTATTTACAACTTGGTCATGCAGGCAATGGTCAAAACAGGAGCAAACAGTGTTATGAGGGTATTCCAAAAGCTTAGTCGTGGTCACAGGCAAAGAGTGCTTTAATCGCTGGTGATCGTGACATCCTGGAAGTAAAACTCCAAAGATTTCGCCATATTCTGCTGAAGAAAATTGCTGTAATCGCAGTCGCAGCTAGTGCAGCAAAAGACATATTTATTTTGTATATTTTTGGTCAAATTTTTGCTTTCTTAAATTCGATTGTGACATTTGCTGAGTTATTTTACTCAATAAAGTCTTTAAATGCATAGTCTTGTTACAGATTTTTTTTACAGATTTATTTGCTTTAAATTAAACTTTGTAAGGTTGTGGTTCATCTCTTAGCTTTTGTTTTGGTTTATACCTTAGGTGGCATTTACACTAATGCATTTTTGTTTTAAAACACTGACATCTAGCGCTCGGGCATCTTTGAGCTGCAAAAAAGGAACATTTTGAATATGCTAAAGAACCTGTTTTAGTCTGGAAATTCAGATTAGCTGTTGAGTAATTCCGATCCTTTTCCTTTTTGTCAAAATCAATGTATCACTTTGTATGAAGCTTATTTTCAAAAACTTCCAAGACTCTTCTTTATGGAGAACTTGCTAGCTTTCCAGTCATCCTAGTTTAATTATTATCATTCCACAGTGCAATCCACAGAGGTGAAGACAAATCACCCAAGTGACAATCTTAACAAAGCATGCAAATGAAGTAGCAGTTATAGGAACGCCCAGAGTTTGGAAGTTTCACCAGCCATGATTTAATCAGCATTACTATACCACTCAAACTACACGAGTATCATATAGATAAAGAAGCGTTTGCTTCCAGGACTTTGCATTCACATTTATCTCAGTTACTAGTGAATGTTAACAATGGCCAGAGGCATCAAGAGGATCATTAAAACACAAGTGATTCTTTCAGTTACCATTCTTGTTTGACCAACCTACCTTTGACCAACCCAA